CACAACCACTGCTGCCACCTCCTTCTGTGTCTCTGTTTCCATCTTCTGCCCACAATTTAGACTCTTGCTGTCTTCCAGGACAGGACTAATCCTGATAGTATAAAATAGCAGCAGCCGGTAGGGTAGAATATGATGTAGTCTTCACTGGTGGGTCTAAACACCACCCCATGCCAAGCTGCCATCATCCCAGAACCCTGCCCAGCCCTTTTCTAAACCTTACTTTAAGCTCACGTTGCAGTTTAGACTCTGATCCTCTTTGGGTGGCTCCATTCTCTTAAGTCACACTCAGTTCAAAACCTAAGAGGTAAGAAAGCACACTAGACTGCAAACATGTCCTTCTAGCAAGGTGGTGATCTTCAGCATGACCTAGAAGACCTGGTGTCAACTCACCACAGATTTGATTGTAGCTGAGCAGCTGACACACTGCTGAAAATCCCTGCCATCCTGCACATGAGCTGTCTCTAATAGCAGGGTATAGCATTAGGAAGCAGATTGCAGCCCATGTGAAGCTCCCCTTCATTTTCTGAACCTTCCAAGACACAAAGGCTCATATCCCCAGTGTACATTCTCCATGTTATTAGGATAACTGCTAGTCAAGTTCAAAAGGCAGCTGGCTTCCAAGTCACCAAGGCAGAAAGAGCTATAATTTCTCTCACTGTAATTTCTCGCTATGATTATAACAGTGGTTGACTGAGTCAACACAGGCAATGTCAGCAAGGGATTTCACTCCAGGACAGCAGATACCCAGGAAGAAGCCCAGTCTGGTGTGGGGGGGCTGAAATGTGTGTGGGAGCTGGCCTGGATAGATACAGTTCTGACTAGGACATTGAACAGGCTCAAAGATCAGAAAGCCAGTAAATTTACACAGCTTAGCTTCATCCTTTCTGAAGGGCTAGGAGCAGAGAAAGGCAATCCTGCCCCCTCTGAAATGAGGGAGTTGTACCATTGACTTTATGAGGATTTCACCCATCACACTTAATATCACAAGACCTGGAGAGGCCACCCTGTTTTCAGCAGTGATATATTCCTTCTCTAACAGTTCCAGAGACTCTTTTATATCCAAGGCATCAACCCAGCTCAAGCTGGGACAACAGGGGCTCAAAAATGTAATCTTTAACTCAACAAAACTGTGGCTCCATAGGCTCCATGGGTGAGAAAGAACCTCTTGTAAAGGGCAACTGCAGATGGAGCCCTTTTCTGAAATTCCAGGACTGTTCTCTCTCCATGGAATACAGGGGAGCTTAGGGAAGTATTTAATACCCCTCTCTTCTGCAGAAGGTCTTCTGCAGATCATCCTGGAATCCTCCCTTCAACTTAATGTCCAAATGCTGCATTATGACATTTTAAAAGGGAGATAATCCAAGTTTTACCCAGAGTAACATTATCCTAAAAGACACACAGTGCTGTTTGTCTTTGGCTGACAAAGCCACACCAATATTGTTTTAAGGTAGGGACAGGATCATGCAAATTGCCCTTTCAGGAAAACAAACAAATCGTATCACAATATGTCACTTCACCTCTCAGCAGCAAAACCAACTGCAGCTTTTCATACGTTAGCAAAGTCAGCTGAGTCTTGCCTTTGGCACTGAGGAGGGCAGAGACAGAAGGATCATAGCTGGAATTCCTGTTCAGATGGCCTCCGTGGGATGAGTATCTAGAAAAATAAATCAGCCCTAACTCCTGAGTGCAGCAACCTAGAAGAGAGCAAAGACTGGAGAGCCCTGTGGGAACACAGGTGATCCAGAGCAGAAAGGGCTAATTCAGATCATCACCCCCAGCCACTCTCCCTCATTCCAGCTGACCAGGGGATGAGTTAGGAAGTCCCAGACTGGAGCTAGATCTGCTTCCCACCAGGACCAATCTTCACTGGGGAGAAAATGGGGCTTCTCAATTTGGTACCAGTGAAGATTCCCCACTCTCTGATACTGTAGTAATTAGTTTACTTAAAAGAGGAACACAAGTAAATGAGAACAGGGCTTGGAAACAATAGGTTACATTCTTGAACTCCTGTGTGCTTCCCTTGGATGAGTTTGCCATGAGAATTGAAGGAACAACATGGAATTTGATCTGAACTGAAAATGAAGTTCACTGAAACCAAAGCAGACATACAGGGTGAATTCCTGGCACTGCTGAGGTCGATGACAAAACTCTCCGTTACCTCGCCAAAGCCAGGATTTCACCCACGGGTTTTATAAAACCAACAATCCATAGAAACCTATCCAAGATTCTTGTTTTAATTTCATGGAAAAATGTACATAAAACAAATATTTCCCTGCAATGATTGTAAAGTAAACAGCCTTAAAGTGCCCTCCTGCATGAAAATGTGAAAGAAATTGAAGCATGAAGCTGACTAACCTGTTTTCTTGCCCAAAATAAGGGCTCTGTATAAAAAAGAGAAACTGATGGAGTAAAGGTATTTGTAAATAAATAACACCAAGTTTGTTAAAAGCACAAATTAAGAAACATGGGTGTGCTTTCCCACAAAGCTCACAGCCTCGAGGCTAGCTTTGCCAAAAAAACCCCAACAGACAGACACAAAGTTGGACAGGAGAGGAGCATATTCTCTTTTAAACCAGGCATGGTACTTAAAATATACAATGACATAAACATTAGCATGTCATTTTCAGGCTGCAATTTGTTTGTGATATTATGAATCTAGTCCACTAAACATCCCATTTATCATAAAAGAAAAAACGCTGCAAGGAACCACCTGCTTTGGAGAAAACCAAAGGCCACCCACCAAGAGCATGTCCAGGAGGGCAGTTCTGCATGCTTCACTGCAGAAAAACATGTTTGCAAATGCTATAATTTTGCTAAGAAGAGAACAGCTGACCTGACAGAGAGCAGAGACTCCAAAGCTTTGAAGTCTAGCTGGGTTCTTTATCCTGCTTTCCACTGTTCAGCTCCAGCTGCTGATACTTGCCCATCAGAAAAGTCTCCCCATCATCCTCAGCAGTCTAATTTCTGCCCTTGCTCTAGGAAGATGTTTTTGATTCAGAAATGATTGTGTATTTTGGTGTCCTAACCAGAGACACACAGGACTACAGGAAGGTCAAGTTTAGCCACCAGCCTCCTCTGTATGGTTTGCCCACAGTTGTCATCTACATAGTGCTAATTTTTCACTGCTGTATAATGAGAAGTTGGAAAATGGGTGGACTCTCCTCCAGTTTCCCTAACCCAGGGATTTGTCAGGAACAGCATCAGTGAGATATTCAGATACTACAGTCATCAAGACACATGCACATACGTGGAAAGGCCCAAGCATTTCTGAAGTGTGAGGTTCAGCATAGGTAAAATTGGGGAACCCAAGTAAAGGCCTACCTTGCCTAAGGAATTTCTGCTTAAAATGTTTTCTAAGGTGCCACTGGGGAAAATACTGCTGTTGAAAGCTCAGATGCACATGACAGAGAATAGTATTTTGATCTAATTCAACCTAACAAGGAAGAACAAAATGGTAATTCAGGTGTGAACCAGGTGTATCAATAACAAAGGAACAACCAATGAAACAAAGTTAATGAACTGAAGCTGAAAAAAAAAAATACTATTTCAGTGTTATTAATTTAAATTGACAGCAAAGATTTGAAGAAAAACTGGGTATTACTATGCCCAGTGAGACCATCCACAGCTACACCCTCACTTGATGTTTCCTGCATGCCTGAGGTTATCTTCATACACTAACTTTATACTCTAAAGTGATAACAATTTGAAAAATAATTTCCCAGGTTATTTTAAGGTTATTTATTTGAAGCACTACACCAAATTTACAGAACAAGCAACCTCTTTGTGAGGCCCAGACTCAGAAGATTTGTTTCTGAACTAGTTGCTTTAGCTGTGTTTGGATTGCTGGCTCCCACTCCCAACCTGCATATCAGTCAATCCAAATCTGCCCACCAGGCCAGTGACCATCCTCTAAAAGATGAGGATGTTGAGTTCCTAAGGAGCTGGGTTTGAACTGAGGAGGGTCAGGCCAACTCCTGGCTGTGCCTAAGATCTCTTTATATCTATGGATTGGACAATAGACACTAGTCCCTGTTCTGAACCAAGCTCTTTCATTTCTCTGTACCTGAGCTCCCCTCCTGTGAAATGGCAGCACCTCACAGCACATGAAAGAATCAAGATGTTCAGATATTGTATCACTTTACACCTTTATCCTTGATTCCCATACGTGGCACAGACTCCAGGATGCCATGTCGCAGTTCACACACAATCAACTGAACTGTAACTGAGGTTGTTATTTTTTTCTCTAGCTCAAACAAGGTTAACAACAATGACTCAATTATAAAGTTTTAAGAACCTGGCTCTAGCAAACCATCCATCTGTAGCCAAGGCAAGTGGGAACAGATAGCCTGGAAGTCATTCACCAGGCATTTTAGAGCTAGAGGGGAACACTGTGAGTGTCTAATTCTGGTGTCAGCAGAAGAGTCAGTCTGTCTTTTTGAGATATTTTCATTTCCTGATTTCTCTTTTCCCCTAAAAGAGGATCTAAGCACACAAGGAACAACTCTGCTGCTAAAGCTGCCTATATGAGTGGGCATGTGCAAGTTCTTAAATAAGTGGCCCAGTTTTCAAATACACTGGCATCAAGCTTTCAGGTGTGAACCATTTGATGGACATCTATCTATAGACACCAGGGAGAAAGGAACTGAGGCATAGGTATGTGGAGAATCTCCTGCTCACACTGGAGCCAGAGGTCAAAATGACACTGATTTCAGGAGGAGCAGACCCAAGAATCTGGCGAAGTCACACAAGTAGCAAGGTGAACCCTGCTGATACAGAAGAGTGAAATGACTGACAGCTGCAAAGTGTGGAAATCCTTCCATCTTGCTTTTCCACCCCCTTTTCCATAAGGTTTTCTCAGCAACCTGGACAGACATCAGAAATACCCCTGTGCTGGTACCTGGCCCAAAGCATCAAATGGCTTACACAGTCCAGAGTTTCTGTACTTATCTGAGAAACGGAAAAGTAAAGCTTTCCTGGAAGAGAAAAAGCAGCCAGCTTACTGATCATGGTGGTGCCCCCAGCCAGGGCAGCCTTGGTCCCTTGGAAGAAGTCATCAGCAGATGTCATCCCCTGCTCCGGCATCTGGAAGCGGGTGTGAACATCAATCCCTCCAGGAATCACCATCCTGCCATGGGCTTCAATAGTTTTCACTCCTCCTGGCACAATCAGATTCTCTCCTATTTGCCTGGGTAAACAGGTTTCAAACAGCAAGTCAGACAAAAACAAGACCAACAGCCTGTAAACATACACCCCTGTGCTACCTAACCTGGCTAACATTTGCTTTTTCCATATAAAGCAACCTACAGAATCAGCATGCAGAGCTAAAAATATTTTATTCCCCCCCTTGAAGCAGTTGCATAATTGAGAGCAAAATGAGCAATTACTTCAGGACCTCAAGGCAGTATTAGACTTAATAGGAAGGAAAAGAAGGAGCCACACCGGCAGGCAGCTGGAGAAGGGACCATGCAGATAATCAGGTGCACCAAACACAGCAAGAGCTTTGTGAGCAGCTTTACTGGGACTGCACTGGGGTTGCCAAGTGGCAGCTCAACACTTGGTTCTACCAAACTAACAGCAGTTCAGGTGTTGGCATTGTTTTGAGAGCACTGGGAGAATTCTTGTCTCTGTATTGTCTACTTCCTTTTCATGCATAAGTACTAGATGCTCCCTGCACAAATATAAACCCATGTAGACACCAGTTACCAAATTCCTGATGAGACCCTCGAAGGTCTCTCAAGTCTGGCTGTTCAGAGACTTATTTTTAGAAGTGCAACAGTGGATGACACATTGCAATTAATTAGCTGTCTTTGGCTGGCTTCTTTGACTTTCAACCTTGATTAACAAAACACATGTGCTGACCATTTAGCCAGAGCAGGAAAATTCCTTGTTTGTAACTTCTGGCTCATCCATTTTTTCCTAAGAGTAATTTTCCAAAGAAATCTGTAATAAATTTAAAGTGCCAGAAACATAGGTTTCAGGACTGAAAACACAGGAGTGTGCTAGAAGGAGGTCTGAGCCTTGATCCTCAAACTCATTTTTAACTTTAAAGGGGTTTGTATTGATCCTTGCATCACAGAATGATAGAAGACAATGCTGCAAGAGGTGACTTGAGTCCAGCCTCCTGCCCTAGAAAATAATTAGCTGTACTGTGATGCTGAATTCTGGATTAAAAGCATGTGAAGTCGTAACTCAGTAAAATGTTACAACACAGATAACTTCAAAAATACGTGTCATCTCAGCAGGGGGCTCTTCACATGGCTAAAATTAAGCACATGTAAGAACCTCATCTGACCCGCACTTTAATAACAGTGGGGCTTGGTCCTGTTTATTTAATTCAACACCTTGTTTTTTAATGTTCCTCCATAAAACAGGAGGATATATGTGAAATATTCATTTTTCATTGCAATCTAACATAGCTCACTGAGACAAAGTTATTCCTTGCTAATCTGCAAATCCCAATCATAACAGGGTATCAGGCTTCACTTACTTTATCAACCCATCTTCCATGTAAATGTCTGCATAGAAAGACTGGTCATCATTAACTATTTTACCACCTTTGATCAAAAGACGATCACTCTGCAACAAAAGAAGCACACAACAACACGTAATTATTCTGTGAGAGAGCTGACAGTCTGCAATGTCACTTCAGAGATAAAAGAGCAGAGACAGCAACAACCTCTGCATTATTCACAAGTGCATGTCAAGACACAAGTCAACTGCCGCACTTTGAACTGGAAAGATAAAATACTTTATTTCATCCACAAGTTCTTTCATCACACTAATGATAAAAAAAAAATAAAAATCAGAAGGGAAAAGGAGTTGGGTTCCAGCAGGCTTGTCTATTTGGCAGCTTCACTCATACCTGCAGTTTGCTACCAGCACCTAAAGCAAAAGCATTAAATAATAATACTTGGAGGGATGCGTAATAGCCACATCTCTTGTTTTTTTCTGCCTTGGTCTATGCAAGATTTCCTACATGCACCCACACCCTGGAGTCACTCCTTGGCTAACGGAGTCAACTGCTGTCAGGGAAATGGACCAAAAGTCTGTTGCCATGGGTTACACAACACAAACAAAGTCATTTTGTCCAGCGTAGTGATGTTTCAATGCAGTGGATACTTCTACTGCCTTTCCAGAGCACTACTGCATAATCAGATGGAAACAAGTACATATTAGCAAATAAATTAAGTTTATGAGGAAGATTTAAAAAGCAGTTATTAAAATTCCTTCCAATTAGAAGACAGTTTGGCAGGAACAGAAAGGTAATTACAGCTCAGCAGCTATCAGGCAATGTGCTTTTATCACAGCCCAGGTTACAGCTTGCTTTGGGGACATTCTAGGTCAAAAACAAATTTATCTTTTTTGCAGTAGTCATAAACCAGTGAAACACACTCTAGATGGGGAGGAAAGTTAAAAATTACTGCTATATTCCTCTGGTTCCTCCATTCCCTACATTACAGATCCACACGTTTATGGCAAAGCACAGACAGGTTATGCAGTGTTCAGTTTAAACTACACCCTGGCACTTGTACTTAGGCTGCTTCTCTTTCCTCCTCTCCAAAATGTCTTTGTAAGAGAACAAAGCTAAACCAGAACAGCACAGCCAGAGACTGCTGAAACTAAAAGCTGACTTCAAGAAGGGGCAGAGAGCAGGACTTAACCTTCTGGTGCCTTGAACTTAAGAGGACAGTAATAGTGGTGCCCAGGGACCTCATCCTGAGCTGGGCTCTGCTGGTCCCACAGAAGCAAAGAATCAGGCATTTTCTTAAAGAGCTTGTAACAGAACTGAAGAGCTGGAGCACCCAATTCTGAACTGACACAAGCTGACATGGCTCTTCTAAACGCCAAAAGAGCTACATTAATTGCAGCAGCTACTGATTTATACCATTATACCCACCTTCTATGTAACTGCCAAACATACATGAGACAGTGTCTCTCCTTCCCCCTCCTTTTTTTTTTTTCCTTCTCCTTCTTCCTACTGCTGCAATGGAGTTTCCCTGAATAATGCCACCAATTCAAAACAAAACAAAAAAAAAAAAAAAAGAAAGAAAGAAAACCCCAAGATTTAAATTTAGGATCTGCTGTGAATGCCAATAAGCCTGAATGAATTAACTTGGGGCGTGAAAAACCCACTTGTCTTTCAATGCCAGCCTCTACAGCAAACTGCCCTACATGTTTACCATCTCCAGAAACACTGCAGTATTTATGCCCACCTCTAGTGCTGACTCCTTGTGCTATTAAAAAGGCTGGTTAGGAGTGAAACCAGCCCGTTTAGCCACAGATGTCACTGACAGCTCAGGTCCTCATGCATCAATTAGGGAAAAAGGAAACAAAATAAAAATATATATATATACTAGCCAAAAAAATGCAGCCTGGACCATTTTAATGATGCTCTGAATGCTTCTGCTAGTGAACAGGTCTGCTGCTGCAGCAAGCTCTAGAATCACTGTGAAGCTTTCTGCTGGTTTCAACCACCTTGGAGACAAAAGCACACGCAGTTTGCAAATGTGGGAGGGCCTGCCACTAAATCGGTGCTTATTTCCCCGACTGATGCAGTCAAAACAGGACAACTAGGCATTGATTATCTTTCTTCTTCAAGCATTAGTCTGGGTAGATCAATTCTGGGTTTATACAAGAGTAAATAAGGCCAGGATCTGATTTATTTTTTTTCTGTGTACAAGAGGTTTGCACGGGGTGCACAGCACAGAAATCAGAGCATTCGGTCAGAAGAAAAATGCGTCATGGTGCTTCTGGCCCCTGACAGCAACCCAGCAGCAGCCTGCATCCTTATTCAAATACAGGCACCTTTTTAAACTCTCTCCATTGGACTCCTAGAGGAAAAGCATCCCCTCCTCCGGGGGAAAAAAAAATTAAAATAATTTTAAAAAAGGATGCTCCATTTATCATGTAACGATTTTGTGCATCCCCTGCAATTCCTACACATCATTTAAAATGTAACTGCACAGCCCAGCGGCTCCTGCCCAAATGTCACACTTCAAAGCTCCATTTCAGAGCTCACTTTTCTGCCTCCGAGGCTGAGGAAGGAGGACGAGGATGGGTGTGTCCGTGGGGCTGGGAGAAGGAGCCGCTGCCAGGAATGAAAAACTGTTTCAAAAAAAACAATTATAAATGGCTCGAACAGTCCCGTTAGGTGCCAATATCTTGCTTTATGTAACGAAAAGTTAGTACCGTCGGACCTGCAATTACCTGCCCTAAAACCCGTCTCCCACAACAAGGAAATCAAGGGAGGGGTTTATATAACGGCTCCTTCCCTTTTCCCCCTGGATTGCATCGAGGAATGGACCAAAACGTGCGCCTTGCGAGAAGCTTCTCGGGGAAGAAAAAGGGAATCCTGTTCCATCCCCAGCCGGCCGGGGCAGGGGGCTCCGGCCCACGGCTCCCCCCTCGGAGCCGGGGGGACGGGCAGGGGCAGGAGGGGGACGGG